TATAGAAATTCAAATTTGTAAGTGTAGATCAGTCACAAATGTAATCATTAGAGAATAACTAAAATTATATAATGTCTTTAGTATTGTAAAACAATTATAATTTGTACTTAGAATTTGATTCTAAGGTGGCAATTTATTTTCAGAAGCATATTACTTTTTTATATTAAATGTTTTTATAGGTTCCTGAGTATGAGAAAATGTTTAACTTTTAATATAGATATTCCTAATCACTAACAAAATAAAGAATAATTGGAATATCCTCCCATTGCACTTCTAAATATTTTCCTGCTTCTGTTTGCTCATCTACAGATATGGCCCCCCAAAAGGCCACCTCATTTCCTAAATCTATACCATCCTCCCAATACCTTATACCACTGTGTCACTTAGCTCAGCGTCTTGCAAGCAAGAATCTGTGTAACTCAGCTTTGATCAGGTTTCTGTCATTGCTCCAACCCACTAGACAAATAATCTTTGGGGTAGGCTACTTAACCTAATTGACTTATTCATCCTACCCCGAACACCTAGTGTACTTCATGATTTATAAATGGTTTCTGAAAGGTTGAACATGTGATGTTTCCATAACTGGTTAAACTTTGTGTAATTGGTGTCACTTATAGCATGTGGGTGAAAGAACTTGATCTACCCTTATTTAGCTGAGTATGCAGAGTAGAAGACTCTGGCATTGAGGTGGCATAGCAAGTGACCAGCTGTTAACAGCATAACTCTGAGTCCTAGAGAATTCCTAAGAATTTTGTACAGCGTCTCTCACTTTAATGAACTATAGACAAAAAGTATGATTTTACTATTGTACCAGTACACACACAGTAGAAGTCTTTCTTTTTAAAATAAGTTATTTAACTGTTAGTAATACTAGCACATGGCAGATCATTGAAGTGCTAGAAGATATATAGTTAAAACAAATTTCCCTATCATAGATTTCAATTTCCTAGTCACTTTATTTAGAAGTAAACACAGCTACCAGTTTCTTATATATTTTTCCAGAAATATTCTGACCACACAAGCATAAGATTATATCCCCTTTTTTCTTTATCACACATACGATCTTGCTATTTATATTCCTCCCCACTCTACACTTTTAACTGATTAGCTGTAGAATGGCTTTTATAATGGCTGCATAGGATTCTATTAAAGAAAGGTACCACAATTTAACAATTCCTTACTGATGGAATATTTTGTTTTTAAAAGTCTTTTGCAATTAATATGTTTAATAAATATCCTTTACATATATTTTTACACATACATATGAATATATTGGATAAATTGAAGACTTTTGAACAGGAGAGTGATGATATTAGAAAGACAAAGCTAATGTTAGGGTGGCCGGACAAAAATATTTCAAAAACTCTTCCCCTCATTTTGTTCTTTAAGAAGTGTCTTGTTTTCCCTGTTAAGGGAAGCTCTGCCTTTTCCCCAATGAAAGGGAGTTGGTACTCTAGTTGAGCACATATGTAGTTCCAGACATCTTCCCTTGGCTTCTGAGTGAATGTGGTGCCTTACACAGAGTAACATGATTTCTCTTTGTTACCCTGCTTTTTTTTTTTCTTAATCTATTATGCATTGGCCTGAGTTACTATCCAGAAATGTCTCAGAATTTTCATTGTGTTTCTTAGTTTAAGAAAAACTTTGCTTGTTCTTTGGGACCCCTTGCATTTGTAGATGGAAGGATCAATTAACCAGACATTGTCTTTTTTTTTTATCCTTGTAATAGTTGTATCCTTATTAGAAGTTTCTAATTCCAGTCAATATTTAAATTCATAGATTCTACCTATGCTTTAGTTGATTCATACATGTTAAATCCTGCTCAAATCTTCCTTTAATATTCTTTTATATCTTAAATATTTTAAAAAAAACATTTTTCATTTCAGAGAGGAAGGGAAAGGGAGAGAAAGATAGAAACATCAATGATGAGAGAGAATCATTGATCAGCTGCCTCCTGCACACCCCGCACTTGGAATTGAGCCCACAACCCTGGCATGTACCCTGACCGGGAATCGAATCATGACCTCCTGGTTCATGGCCTGACACTCAGTCACTGAGCCAAGCCGGCCAGGCGATATCTTACATCTTTAAGATAACCTTTTCCTCACAGATATCTCCTTGCAAGAGAATACTTAATCCTTTTGGATGGAAAAGAAGTCTCCCTGAATAGATATTTACTGAGTAGTATGAAATCAGTTCTTTACTCTTGGATAATTGTCTCATCATAAAGTCTCTTGAGGTATAAATAAGACAAGAGTAAATTTTTAAAAGATTTTACAGAAATCTATAATTCAGCATGATACACATTTAGAGGTAGAAGTAAGGCCAATGGAAGGAAGGAAGGAAAAGGAAAAAATAGAATTAAGTTGTTAAATATTTTAATGTAATCTGAAGGTTTTTTAAATCACCAACTTGATAAAACTCAGTTATTTGAAGGGTAATTTAATTCAGTTCTTTCATTTTTCAGAGAAGAAACTAGTATTTAGGGGTGTCTAAGACTTGCTCCAGATCACAGGCTGCAACACAGCCTGAAGGTGGGACCCCTAGGCCTTGCTGCGTGGAACCGCGAGCCTCGCCTCCATGCCGGGCATGCGGTGTCAAGCCCCAGCCCACCAGCGTGTGCACGCAGCCCTGCCCACCCTCCCACGTCTACTGCGCATGCAGCCTCCAGGTGATCACTCATTGTAGCATGAGGGCGTCACGGCAAGAGGGTGTGACGACCATATAGCCTTTTATTAATTGGACTAGAGGCCCTGTGCACAAATTCATGCACCAGTGGGGTCCCTCGGCCTGGCCTGCGGGATCGGGCTGAAACCGCCTCTCCGACATCCTCTGAGGGGTCCCGGATTGCGAGAGGGCGCAGGCCAGGCCATGGGACCTCACTGGTGCACTATTGGGGACAGGGAGGGGCTTGGGAGATTGGCCAGCCCAGGAGGAGGGTCCGCAGGAGGGTTCCAGGGAATGTCTGGCCTGTCTCACTGATTCCCGATTGGCCAGACGCCAGCAGCAAGCTAACCTACCAGTCGGAGCATCTGCCCCTGGTGGTCAGTGCATGTTATAGTGACTGGTCGACCAGTTGACTGTCTGCTCCTGGTGGTCAGTGCATGTCGTAGCAAGCAGTTGAGCAGCCTTTGCATATCATTAGCATATTATGCTTTGATTGGTTGAATGAATGACTGGACACTTAGCATATTAGTGACCGAACGACTGAAAAACTGGTTGACCGGTTGCTATGACACACACTGACCACCAGGGGGCAGACGCACAACACAGGAGCTGCCCCCTAGTGGTCAGTGCACTCCCACAGCCAACCTCCCACGGCCCCTCCCCAGGCCAGCCACCCCATCCCCCCGATCGCAGGCCTGGCCAAGGGACCCCACCCATGCACGATTTGTGCACCGGGCCTCTAGTATAGGATAAATGTCCTAAACTAAAAGATGTACCTACTAGTTGATATTGTTCCTTAGATAACTGTGTTGTGGGTGGGGGAATCATGTTATTACATTTTGATCTTGTGATATGTGGGCTGTTTTTGGCCAAAAAGAGTCTGTTGGTTAGTGGTGTTAGAAATAAGGCAAGCCCCCCAATGCAGGGATCCTGGTAGAACACAAAACATACTCAGGAGCCAGGCAGGAAGGCAAGTATCTTTACTTCTACATAGAAGGGTGTGCACACATGGTCTGGAAGCGCACACACACCAAGCAGGCGGTCTGTTCGGCTTTATAATCATGGACACACGTGACCTGTCCCTTGCTCTTGATTGGAGCTGAGGCGCACAGTCTTTCGTGATTGGCTAATTCAAAGGGAGGAGTTGTCCTTTGCCATTTCAAGATGGCAGCCCCCAGGGGAGCTGCAAGCCATGCGGCCAACATGGCGGCTGCCAAGTTAGCAGCCCAAAATGGTGGCTGTCTACACTGTTCTTTGACAGAAAAGATGACTTGTTTCTTCTCACAGTGGTGATTTGGAACCTTAGGTGAAAGTGGTATTCTTAACACACAGCCTCAGAATGAGAGGCTGTTACAGGAGTGCAAGTATCAGATCTGGATGCTCTGGCCATAACAGAAATCTGGGAAGTAATGGTTCTTGGATACCTAAACTGCTTTTATTTTAATGAACACGTTTTTCTTAATCTGAATAAATGGGTTTTACCAATTTTTATGTAGTATGCTTCAATAATGAATAATAACTCATTTGATCGTAATTATATTTTTCAACCAAAAATTAATGTACTGATGTTTTATTTATATGTGTGTTCCAGCTTATTTTGAAAATTTCACAGTAAAAACACACTACCATTGGTACTTATACAATTGTAAGGCATTTATTTTTAATTCTTAACACAAAATGTATCTGGCTAAAAAATATGATAACATTCCAAGCATATACTTAATCTATAAATAGATATGACTGAAATACTTACTTGAAAGCAATAATCTAAAAATACCTTGAGGTTTCTTTTACTGCCTCACATGCACATGGCTCATTATACACACATTCACTTAATAAAAACAAAAGCTGACAGTTATTGAATGCTAGGTACTCAGCACTTTATCTGCATTATCTCATTTAATCCTTCCAACTACATCTTCAGTCCGCATGCAGAAATGGAAGGTTCACTGAAGTGACATAATTTATACACTGTTATAGCTAATAAGCTCCAGACACAGCCTTGGAACCCAGATGATGTCTCTTATCAAATGTAATCTGTATATCCATTTCTTTCATGATTAGGTTTATACTCTTCAACCCCAATGCATATGTATTTTGTGAGAGTTTTTTATGTGTCAGACTTGGTGTTTTTGTTTTCTTTACTTTTTATTTTGAAATAATTTTCGATTTAATTATATTGGTTTATTTATTCCATATTTTATCTTTCTGAAGAACATGTTCTAAACTTATTTCATATCTTTACAAACTATGCCTAAATGTTTGACTTATTTTAAGTATGTTTAACTCTTTTGACTAATTCTGTCTAAAACTGAGAATTCTCCCCCTCATAGATATGGAGTCTGGAGAACGGTTACCATCCTCAACAGCCTCTTCTACTGTACCAACTTCATCTTCTATACCTTCTGTGGCTTCATCGGTTTCTAAAGGCGGCCTTTCCACTGGAGCTGCTTCGCTTAGCTCTGCAATCAACCCATGTGGTGAATATCCTTATTGACTCAATTTTAGAATGCCATCCTTTTATTAATTTGTGTTCCTAGTGTTTTATTCTCAATGCCTCCATTGACCTATAAGGTTTAACATCCAGTCTCTGCTTTTTTTGAAATTCTATAGCACTGTTTATTACAAGCGTTTCTTGATTACTGGAAGCTCTCTTTGTAAATTTCATGTTGCTGTCACCATTTCAATTAATAAATTAATACAGGCAAAGTCTTTTTTAAAACAATAGGTCATTAAGGGAGTGAAGAAATACAAATGAGTCCTTGGTGATCAGGGTAGGTACCAATGCTGTGAACACTTTGCCCTAATTTGCTTTTAGTATTTGAAATGACCTTTACCAAACTCCAAGTATCTCAGTTCACTGGTGTGCACTAAAGGCAGATCATTTACTGAATGGGAAATATTTTTAAAGTTTAGAGCATGGCAAGTTTCTATTAAACATGAACATAGTTTATATTGCTAAAAAGAGAGCTTTATTTCAGAAGTGAAAATACCCTTAATTTTCATTAATTACATAGGAGGTACTTTTATTTTTTAAATCTTCATTGTTGAAAGTATTACATATGTCCCCTCCCCCCCCCATTGACCCCTCTATCCCACCCCCACTTCCCTTCCCCTAGCCTTTACCATCCTGTTGTCTGTGTTCATGGGTTATGCATATATGCATACAAGTTCTTTGGTTGATCTCTTCCCACCCATCCACCCACCCTCACCTTCCCCATAGGAGGTACTTTTAAGTAACTCCCAAAATGAGTTCTTGCCCAAGCACATGTTTGGTAGAATACATCCTTTTAAAAAAATACCTAAGCTTGATTAAATCACTTCTTTATCAATAGGAACCATTTTAATCTTAAATATTTTTAATCTTATAGATTATTTCATAGTAGAACTAAGTAGTATTTCACTTTTTCAAGATTAGATTTGTAATTTTGGGTAAGTGAAATGCATAAATATGGAATGTTTGCTAACAAAATACCCTAGAAATTTGCCAAATAAATATTTGTTTATTTTTAAATCAATGGAACAATAACAAGAAAGATATCATTTTGTCATTGTTTTATGAAAGTAATTTTCTAAAATTTTCTTCATAATTAGAAAATAACTAAAATGAAATAGCATTGCATTAAAAAAGTAAATAAATGAAATCCCTGTTCTCCTGCACCCTGTACAATCTTGGTTAACATTTAACAATTTCATCCATACTTCCCTTATATGCAAAATGATAGCTATATATAAATGATGAGTGCCTTTATGATATGCTTTGTTCAAAAGGTGATGCTACAATTGGCATTTTACCTCAAGTTACTTTCTCTAAATGATTTGAGAGTTGTACTTTTATAATGTTTCTTTTCTGCTTCTTATAACTATTCTTCTGAATTAGTCTTTAATATATATGGTGTTTCTATAGAAATGTCCTTTTTTATGTCAATGGTTTTCATAATATATTTGAATACAGAACCTTGAGTTTTTTGGACACTTTGCTGTCACCTATTTCTCACTTATTTTCTGAATTAGTGATACTTGAATTGATTGTGATTCTTATTAGTCAATTTAGGGCACTGTTTTTCTGTTAGTGATAGTTGGGAATTTCAGAAAGGGGTGGGGTACTAAGTTGCTGGGTAACATTAGAAATTTCTTTGTCTAGAAATTTCTTTGTGTAGAAAGGAGTATATTTTTTTAAAATATATATATTTTATTGATTTTTTACAAAGAGGAAGAGAGAGGGATAGAGAGTTAGAAACATCGATGAGAGAGAAACATCCATCAGCTGCCTCTTGCACCCCTCCTACTGGGGATGTGCCCACAACCAAGGTACATGCTCTTGGCCGGAATCGAACCTGGGACCTTTCAGTCTGCAGGCTAACGCTCTATCCACTTAGCCAAACCCAGTTAGGGCGAAAGGAATACATTTTTATTATTTTATTATTTATTTGCCAATTTAAAAGGTTGTAGAGTTTTTGTGTTGATACTTTCATTGAAAGTATAGTTTATTTCTATGTTCAGAAATATATCACTTATTAATACAATCCTTTGAGTGCATCATGAGTCTTTTTCACTTTCCAGGAAAATACTTAGTTTTTAACTTTCACAGTGTTGTAATTTATGTTTAAAGTAAAGCCTAGTATTAAGTTCCCGCACCTAATTTTCTTAATTTAATTTGTCACATTTTCCTGTTTTGTTTGATAAGATATTTTTGGCCTATGCATTGTCTGATAATTCTCTCCACTTTAAAATGAAATCATAGAGTAATAATATACCTGGACTCTTTATCTTAAACAATTTTTTAATTTCCTCAGAATTTTTTGAGGTATAAAGACAACAAACAGAATTTTCACCTTAAAATGTCAAAATTTCAACAGTTCTTTAATGGCCCCTTGGAGGACATTCTGTTGTTTTAAAATTATTTTAATTGACCAATCTCTTGTCATCTCCATTAATAGTATGTCTAGAGGAGTTACACTGAGTTACAAAGGATGCGATTCAAACCTGCTTTCAAATTTTGAATGATAAATTTCTTTTGAATCAATACCTTATGAGGATTGGAGATTATACCTACTAGTTAGCCTGTTCCTATTATGAATGTGTCAGAAGACATGAGTCTCCTGAGTCAGAGATTTTATTACTTACCAGAGGCCCAATGCACGAAATTCGTACAAGAGTAGGCTCTCACAGCCCCGGCTGCCTCGCAGCCCCTTGGCCCTACCCCCTGCCCACTGGTCGCTCCAGAAGGTTGTTCTGCCATCTGTTCTAATTCACATATTAGCTCTTTATTATATAGGATGGCACAGCAAATAACATGAGCATCATACTGGCATTGGTTTCCCATGCCTCCCAAGTCCACAGGGCGATACAGAGCAGCCCACTTGGCTCTTTGTGTGCAGTGGGTTTGTGTCACAGCTTAGGAATACTGAGCTTGGGGACTCTACTTTTGCTTTTAGTTAATGAAAACAAACCCTTTGTCTGGAAGGAGATGTTACCTCATCCTTCAAGATTGACCACTGCAAATGCAATCCTGAGAAATGGCTTGGTTCAAGAGTGGTCAAGGCATTTTACTCTTGGTATACCCACCAATAACATGTAGGGACCTTTGAGGATTGCCTTTCACAAAACATCTTTCAGTAATTTGGATAGAAAATAACACTGCAATAAAGATTAATCTGTCCTGGTCAATTTGGCTAAGTTGGTTAGGTGTCTTCCTGTGCACCTAATTCCCAGTGGAAGTACATGCCTAGGTTTTGAGCTTGATCCCCAGTAGGGAGTGTGCAAGAAACAGCTGATTGATGTTTCATTCTTACATTGATGTTTCTCTCTCCCCCTCTCCCTTTCTATCTAAAAACAATGAAAATATAGGGAAAAAAGATTAATTAATCTGAGGTCATCTGCATATATGTGTCTTATTGATCTTATTAGAATATAAGAAATACAATGTATCTTTTCCCTTTAAATTATGATTAAAAAATAGCTTGCCTACTTCTAAAAAATAATTTGGGACAGCTTTCAGTAAATGTATTGGTATAGCAAACAAAACAATTAACTAAAATATCAAAATATAGGGTCTTAAAAGGTGTTAGGTAAAGAAAGCTACCAATATTGCACAAAAACAAACTAGCTGTTAAGAGTAAAAGGAAAACAATGGGATGCGTGACTCACATACTAGTGCTAATAAGAGTATCAGTTCCTGAGGAAAAAGTAGACTTTTTTCCTGGCCCTGAGTGGTGTAGGGAATATGCTACCAGAACTGTGGTGTGAAAGGCCAAGTGGTGCACAATATCCTGCTTGCCAGTTTCACAGATATTCAGACGGTTGCAATATTGCTCTGGGTGAAAGGCGAGAGAGTGGTATTTAAACCACTAGTTGCATACTTAAACTTTAAAGAGTGGATTTGCTTGAGATTTGTGCTAATTTGACCTAATACATAGATAGAATTTGGGAAATTGCAGTTACACTTAAGCTGTGCTGTAGGCCAGTGGTTTTCAATCCATTTTTTTTTTAGGTAGATCTCTTCAAACAAAACATATAATAATGTCAAATATATAAAACAGGTAAACTGTTTAAAACCTCTCTAGTTAAAGCTTGAGTATGCCTGCTTTTCTTATTAAAGTTAAGGCAGGCAGGGGAGGGTGGGATGGGGTTGTGTAAGAGATCAACCAAAGGACTTGTATGCATGCATATAAACATAACCAATGGACACAGACAGTAGCGGGGTGAGGGCATGTGCTGGGGAGCGGTCAATGGGGCAAAAGAAGACATATATAATACTTTCAACAATAGAGAATCCTATATAATAAGAGAGGAATATGCTAATTAGCTGTTATGCCCTGAGGCATAATGACCAAGCACATCACGACCAGATCTTGGATCAGCAGGAGGGTGGGCTAACCAGGTACAAGCAAGCTGTGGAGAGCTACAGGAGGGGGCAGGGCAGCAAGCTATGAGGGGTGG